CCCGTCACTTTTGTGACTTGGATTTTTGTCAATTTGGGTTTTGTTGCAAATAGAGCGCCTCTACATGCGCCGCGGGAAGAAGTGACAAAAGTGACAACTTTTTTGAAACAGGGTTGCTGCCGGAAAGCGCGAATTGAGAAGTGACGGAAGTGACGGTTTTTTGGAATCATGAGGTGGTGGCTGCTGGAGCGGCCGCGCCGCCAGGCTGGGCAGTGACAGAAGTGACGTTTTTTTTCGAGTAGGAGCTCTGTAGCCGGAGACGCTTTGAAAATTCAAGTGCCATACCACATCCGTTGCCGGCCGTAGCAATTCTGTTTTCGAGCCTTTGCGATCATCACATTTTGTGATATTTGACATCGCCATGGAGCCACAGCCTGTTGTTCCACTGGCGCGGGTAGTCGGGTTCCTCCCGGCTGATCCTGACGAGAAAAGTGAGAAGAGCAGTTCGTGAGGCGACGAATAATTCGGGGCCCGAAGAGCCTGGCAGCCGCACCGTTGCGGCGCAGAAGCGCCCGCTTGAAGACGCAAGGCCCAGCCGGCCTGCTGCCAAGGCTCGGGCAAGCAAGAGTGCCTGCGAGGCCAAGCTGGAGTGTTTGATGTGGGAGCCGGTGAACTACAAGGCCCTCTATGAGTTCGCATCTCGCAAATTGCATCAGGCAGCTGGGCTGGCGGACCATCTGCTACCGCTTGGCCAAGCGAGCCGAACTGATGGATAAGTTGAACAACCGGCCAGCCACTGGCATCAGCCAGGTTCCCGTGGTCTACAGCAAGTCCCGCAACGAGGTGCCGTTCCCCGCCCAGCGCTTCTCCGGCATCCAGAAGATCCCCGAGGGCAAGGAGGCAGAAGCTGAGGTGGTGCAGATCCCTTCGATTTGTGAGAGGCGGGCTAGGGGTATATAGTTCAAGCATCCAAGGGGTCGTTTCTCGTCTTGGGGGTTTACGGCATGCTTAAGACTGCACAAGGCTGATGGAGCGAGGTTTCACGGCCTACCAGACCACCTGCGGCGCTATTGCGTACCACAAGATGATCCGGCAAGTGGCGAGGTTTGAGACGCACATGCTGGACTTGGACCTGTGTGGCGCCACGGCCGTGCTCCAGGATGCGCGGCACCACGGGCAGTACGCCCTGCTCCACAAGTTGGCAACCGACAGGCAGTACTTCGAGTCTCAGCTTGGAGTCGGCAAGGATGTGGTCAAGAAGCTCTTTTATGGAATCATGAACGGGGGCGGCAAGAAGCACCTTCAGGACGCATGTTAGCCCGCAACAGGGTAGTTTTTTTTGCAAGACCTAACCCCAACCCCTCAAACCACAATTGCAGGACATGGCAAAGCACGTCGACACGCGCCGCCCGCTCATCGTTGACTTCTGCAAGGAGCAGCGTGCGCTGCGGAAGGTGGACGAGAAGAATCATCCGGTTCTCTTTGCACGCTTCTGCGCATACAAGGAGAACCCCAGTGGTAGCCTGCAGGAGGCGCTTTCTGAGGGCGACGAGCGTGTGTGCGTGGACGCTGCCACTGAGGCCATCCTGGAGGACAGCGACTTGGGGGCGACAGTTCGGAGCCTCGAGCACGACGGCATCAACATCACACCGGAGAGTGCGGAGGATGACACAGCAGAGTGGCAATCCGACGTCTTGGCCCTTGTCAACAAGGCCTCTCCCCACCGCTTCGAGATCAAGCCCCGCCCGTCGCCGGCCGAGATCCTGGCCACTCTGCAGGCGGAGCATCCGGACATGGACTTCCAGACCATTGAGGAGACCAGTGAGCGGGTAGAGGAGAACCGCCTGTTGCTTGCTACCTACCTCAAAAAGTCCTCCAGCACCAACGTGGACTTGATCGTCAGCGACCTGTTGGCGGACTACCACCTGTTTTTGGAGGGCGTCGAGTTCACGGTGCGGACAGTCTGGCGCTGCATCCCTGACGAGCGCACCCAAAGCTTTGCCCAGTGGGAGCAAAAGGTGGGGCGCTGGCACATCAAGACCGAGGGTGAAGTCTACGGAGCCCTCCGCCGTTGTGCCCAGGACATCGTGGAGTCCGTCTGGAAGCAGGATCTGGCCATGGACACGCCCCCGCCGGCGTGGGTGTACCAGGACAGGGGCATCTCCAAGGGCATCAAGGATTGCTTTCGCTTGCTGTACGACCGCGACTTCGCGCAGAAGCTCGACTGCGGAGTTCGTCGCACTACTTGCTGTTCCAAGATGGCCAGCTCGTGCGCAGGGACACCAAGGAGGTCAAAAAGTGCACGCCCGACCACGTGATCACGCACTGCATGGGCATCGACTTCCCGGAAAAGCTGATGAAGGAGTACCAGTGCAGCGGCCTGATGCAGCGTTTGAAGGGCATGCTCACGGCCATCCAGGGCTTCGAGGTTGAGGTTGACCACTACCCTCCAAACATCGAGGCCCAGTACGACCAGCTGCGCAGCGAGATCCCCGTGCTGCAGTTCTTGCACAGCCTGTGAGCCCCCAGATCGTATGCTGAAGCTCTTCGCGCACTACCTGTTCAGCAGGGAGGGCTTGGAGGCCTTCTACGTGCTGTGGGGCATCTCCGCCGGCAATGGCAAGGGATCCCTTCTGAAGCTACTCAGGATCACATGTGGATCGTATTTTCACGACCCAGACTTCGTGTCCCTGGCTGCTGGCAAGCGCAACCCCGCAGGCCCAGATCCCTCCACGATGGCCTTCAGGGGTCGCAGGCTACTCTTTGTGGCGGACACTGACGCTGGCGCCAAGCTGGACACCTACCGGCTGAAGACGTTTTCAGAAGGCGACAGCGCCATCAAAGCCAGGAACCTGTACAAGGATCAGGTGGAGTTCCCGGCCAGGTGGGGCCTCTTCATCGCCACCAACCGGAAGATGCAGTTCAGCGGCGGGGAGACGGCCGATGAGGGGGTGGTGAGGCGACTGAGGGTCATCGAGTTTCCCTTCAAGTTCTGCGCGCGCCCAGCCTGACACGCACGAGCGTCAGGAGGATCCCAAGGTGAAGCAGGAAACGACCTTGCTCTCCTGGGCCCCGCAGCTGCTGAATCTGTTGTTCATGGTGGACGAGCTCTGGTCGCCGAAGGGCACTGATCGCACGACTCACATGCAGATGGAGCCGGTTCCCGCAGCCGTGCTACAAGCCACCGAGCAGTTCCTCAGCGGCGACAACCAGAGCGTGGTGGAGGACTTCCTGAAGGATCACTGCGAGGAGCTGCCAACAGCGAAGGGGGCAACGTTGGCAACTGAGGTGAAGAAGGCCTTCATCACATTCGCAAGCCGGGAAAACCAGACCGCGACCAGAAAGCAGGCGCTGATGCTGCTGATGGCAGCTGTGGAGGAGAAGCCGGGGCGTGACGGCACTGCCCGGTGCTTGAGGCCCAAGGGCAAGAAGACTTGGATCAAGCTCAGGGATGGGGCTTAATTAGGCCTGAGCGTTCCTGGGGAGTCTTTTGATTTTTCAGTGGCCCTGAGCTCCTCAGGTTCTGATTTAGTGTGATTTTGTTCCCTCGCGAAGTGGGGAAGAAGCCTTGGTGTTCTCAAATCGCAGCCCTGAAATGTCCTGTAGTTTTAAGCAGATTCCCTACTTGCGAATGCAGTTTTTGTATGAGACCCTCCTAGTGTCGTGCAGCAGCCTGCTCGTTCACCACAAGGAGCCTGCAACCTTTGAAAGGTCGCAGGTGGGCCTGTGTTCGAGTGACGGTTAACTAGGATCAAGGCGCCGTACTGTACAGGGCGGCGAGGACAGTCACCTATGGGACTCCGAGTGCTCCGCAGCCGCGGCGCAGTGTATTTGTACCGTAGAATTACATGACACGCAGGCTAGCCTGAGTTTTGCGCACACAGGGGCCGGTCCGGCATTGTTATCGAGACCATAAGGCCTGTGCATGAGCGCGCGCACATACTTCGGCTTTGCTTGCCAGAAAGAAGTCAACCAGTGCTCCTTGCAACAAATCCTAGGAATCCTGTAGCATAGTCGCCTCACTAGATTCAGCGCCTCAGGTCATTGATTCATACCCTTGCGAGCTGTGAGCTTGGAGCCTGCGTGAAACCAAGTGGAGCCAACCCTAGACCCCAAATCCCAGCATCCTTAAACCTTGCACTTTCAGGCCCGGGTCGTGCTCTTCGTTCACATCTTCGCAGGCCGAGACCTTGGAGAGCAGCCGAGTGGAGCCCACCCCAACCCAACAAAAATCCCACTGGAGAGCCGTCCTGAATCCCCAACCCCCTAAACACTGCCAGGTTCCCCCTCCACATCCTTGCCACCGGTGAGTCGGGAGCTCAAAGCGAAGCCGGAGCGGACCAATAAACCGGTACCAAATCCCTATAAGCCGCTATTAGCCATGCCCTCTCAGGTTCTTCTCATGCACTTCGCTCATGCACTTCGCATGTTTGCAAGCCGGGGCCCTGGAGAGCAGCCGAGTGGAGCCTGGTAAGTGGATCACTTGTTTGTAAACTGCTAGAGCTGCTAGTGAGGCGCGGTCTGCATGTTCTTCACAGTTTGCTGCTTGTGACCGGGGCCACTAAAGAACTCTAGATCTGGGGACGTTGGTGCTTGAGGCGTGGCCACTGAGCCTGTTCGGCAAGCCCGTCTGAGACTTCTAGAGTAGCTTCCCGATGAGCTTGTGCTGGTCTTCGTTGCAACCATGTTGCATGTGCAGTTGTGAATTCAGCATCACATCAGTCCAAGCTTGCAGTAACATGACATGTTCGGTTGCAGCGGATTTCGCAGGCTGAAAAGTCTTCCGCAAGGCATACGGTCTAGATTCTCAACCTTACCCGTACCCCCCAGCCCCTAAACCCCAAGCCCCTAAGCCCTCCATCCATAACCCAACCCCTAAACCTTAAACCCGAACCCCTAAGCCTAATTTAGGGTAGGGTCTGCAAAGATGGCTGTGCGTCCTCCTATATAGGAGGGCTTATACATCTCTAGCAGAGATGCTCACCCCACAGCGCCCGCCCACACACACACACCCACACCCGCTCGCGTCTGCCAGTGCTCATTGCTGATCCTCATGATGCTCATCCGGCTCCGCTGATGCTCATCTGCCGGCCGGCTGATGGCCCGCTGAGGCTGGTAGGGGTCCGCTGATGCTCATCGGCTCTCGCGCGTCGCCGCAGGCCGCCCTGGCCCCCGGAACCGCCCGCCCGCTCATGCTCATCGATGTTCCGCCAGCCCGCGCTCCCGATGTCTGCGCCCAATGCTTGCCCGCTGACGCTCATCCGCCTCCCATCCGCGCCCGCCGATGGCCTGCCGATGTTCATTGCTCATCCCGCAACTTCTGCTCTCGAAAAACCGTCACTTTTGTCACTTTTGCCGTGCGCTCTAGAGGCCCTGAAACGCGCAAAAGATGAAGGTGACAAAACCCGAAGTGACAAAAGTGACGAGCTTCTAGAATCAATGCCGGGCTCTTAGACGTGCCTTTTAGAGCAACGCAAAAAGTGACAAAAGTGACAGCTTTTTCAGAACAGGTTGCTGCGCCCGCCCGCTGATACTCATGATGCTCATCCGCCGTCCGGCTGATGGCCCGCTGAGGTTCACGGAGGCTTCTCATCCGCCGTCCGATGGTCCGCTGAGGCTCCGCCGCTGCTGATCCGCCGTCCGGCTGATGGCTCTCATCCGGGCGCCGGGGCCCGGAACTGCCCCGCCCGCCGACGCTCATCAGCTCTCATGCGCGCCCGCCGATGCTCATCAGCTCTCATGCGCGCCCGCCGATGCTCATCAGCTCTCATGCGCGCCCGGCGATGCTCATCAGCTCTCATGCGCGCCCGCCGATGCTCATGAGCTCTCATGCGCGCCCGCCGATGCTCATGAGCTCTTATGCGCGCCCGCTGATGCTCATCAGCTCCGCCTCTCATGAGCGCCCGCCGATGCTCATGAGCTCTTATGCGCGCCCGCCGATGCTCATCAGCTCCGCCTCTCATGCGCGCCCGCCGATGCTCATCTGCTCATCCGCGCCTCGCGCGCGCGCCCGCCCATGCTCATCCGCATGCCCACCTGTGCTCGTCCGCATGCCCGCCAATGTCATCCGTGCTCCGGCGCTCATCCGCGACTCTCATCCACGCGCCCGCCAATGCTCATCCGCGCTCGTCCGCGACTCTCCCCCCGCGCCCGCAAATGCTCCGCATGCACGATGCTCTTCCGCATGCCCGCCGATGCTCCGCATGCCCGCTCATGCTCATTGCCGCTTGATCCGCGACTTCTGCTCTCGAAAATCCGTCACTTTTGTCACTTCTCTGGCACGCTCTAGAGGCTTTGAAACGCGAAAAAAGACAAGTGACAAAACCCGAAGTGACGAAAGTGACGAGATTTTAAAATCAATGCAGAGCTCTTAGACGTGCTTTTCAGAGCAACGCAAAAAGTGACAAAAGTGACAACTTATTTGGAACAGCCACCCTCTCTCTTCTATAGCACTCCCCACACCCCCCTGAAGGCTATGCAGAGCCAGCCTGAATGAAAGCGCGCAGCATCACATCTTTCATTCGACGGCGCACCACACTTCAGGAATGCAGCCATGGAGCCGTAGGCCCGCAGATCTGCAGCCAGCAAAATCGCATTTCAGAGCACTTGGAGGGGCAAGCGTTCCGTCAAAAAACGCGCAGAAATGCATTACTAAAGGACCGGGGGTGAAAGCGGAGGACGAAGTCCGGAGCCCCCCCCGGTCCCTCAGAGATGCATTTCTGCGCGATTCTTGTTGCGAGCGCCCAAAAGTGCTCTGAAATGCGATTTTGCTGGCTGCAGATCTGCGGGCCTACGGCTCCATGGCTGCATTCCTGAAGTGTGGTGCGCCGTCGAATGAAAGATGTGATGCTGCGCGCTTTCATTCAGGCTGGCTCTGCGTAGCCTTCAGGGGGGTGTGGGGAGTGCTATAGAAGAGAGAGCGATACGCCTTCGAAGAAGTTACCGCTTTGGTATCAGGAACCACGACTTCTTTCGAGGCAAGCATGGCCCTCTCGATCTTCCGTCTGGCTTTACAGCGGCTACTGTAGACCGCGTGGCCAAGTGGCTCTAGACCTGGGCTTCCAGCAAGCTAGGGATCTTTTTCTTCCGCCTTCCTGCAGCCCGGCTCCGAACGCTCGCTCTTAGAGGTTGTGGTTTATGCTTGTGCGATGCTAGTTCCCTGCCTTTTGTTTGTTTGCTATCACTGCAGTTCAAGATGCTTGTCCTGCCTACCGTATGAAGCTTACTCCCGCTTGGCAGATTGAGAAGAAATGACCCACTGTGGCGCTCTTGCAGGCTTGTCAAGCGGCTAGAGATTCTTGCTGCGGCTCCGGCTCCCTCCAGGGAGTGGAAGCAATCTCAGCGACTGCGCGTCTGCAGTATAAAAATGTCTTTTTCTTGCGCAAGTTTGAAGCTCTTAGCACTTCCGCTGACTTTTGCAGATCGCTTGATGGCGCTGCAGAGATGCCCTAATCACAATCTCCTCGTCCGCAGCTGCTGCGGTTTCGTGTCTCTGCCTATATAATCTTCTACCAAAAAGCATTCAAGAACGTCCACCAAGGAGCACTCTTGCGGCACGCGCGCGCAGTCTTCCAGGTCTTCGAATCTCCTTCTAGAAGAGACGAAAAAGTCCTGTCCACCTGCAACCACACTTCCACTGGCAAAACTTCTGACAAAACCAGCTTCTGACAGCTTGCAGTCCCAACGCTTATGCACACTTTCTAAACTTGCTTTCACACTTGCACACACAGCTTCCAGATGCAGAAGGCCTTGTCTTCTTCACTAAAAAGAACTTTCGATCTGCGCAAAACATTCATCGAAATGCGATCGTCATCAAACCGGACGGTGTCGGAAGTGTTTCCCACTAGCTCCAGCAGGAGGATGGCACGACTTAGACAGGTTGCACGCTTCTTTGTCTCATGCAAGAACAATTGCTCTGCCTCTTTAAGAGCATCCTCCTCTGAAGCCTTTTTCATCCTCCAGTGCCTTTTCATTCTGCCGGCGCAGCTTTGGCTCTGCCCTCTACTGCAGAGCCTGACGCAGAGCTCAGGCCAAACTGTGCAAGCATGTCGCAATCATCTCCCTTTTAAATCTGATTCTGCGAACAGAGGTGTAATTCGGCGGAGCTTCTCAGCAGGCATCACTTCCTCTGCTTGCCTTGGTTGACAAAGACCTTGCAAAGAAACTTGTTCCATAGTTCTTTGATTCGTAAGACCCTTGCAATGGCTTTTTCATCTTTCCGACTGACAATATATGATTCCACAATAGCAGGTTGCAGGGCTCTTTCTGTTGGTCGCAACGTCTCTTGTCTAGCACAGCGATGGTAGTGGACGATTGTTCGAGAATAGAGGTTTGTGCTGCAAGAAGAAATCGAACGGTATTTGCCATCGAAGAGAACCAAGAATCGACCTTTCGGCGTTTTTAAATGTCCAAGTTGAGCTTGCAAAGTACTACGTTTCATTGATGTTGAGGGAAAACGGTGCATGTTGTTGCATGCTAAGACTGACAGCGTGGTTAAGCTTGAACGTGCGATAAAGTTTTACGATGCCGATATCAAGATTTTGAACTTCTCCTTTTTTTGTCCGCGCGGGCGCACTCTCGATTCCGGAGTCAGTCGCCAAAGAGACACCTATGTAGAAAAGAGCACGAGACACTAATTAAGACTTGTGCGGTTGCCATCAGCTAAACTATCGCATTTAAGCTTGACGGACCAAGTGAACATACTCACCAACAGACATCGTTAAGACCTTCAATTAAGAGGTAGCCCTGTAACTGATGATGACTGCCAGATTGTCCTCAATCGTCATTCAAAGAGCAATATTCTTCTGTAATGTTGTGAAACTATTGCATAGCTGATTGCTGGCAGAAAATGGGAAAATAGCATGAATTGTGTAATTTTCCCTATTTTCCACTTATGTTAACTACGTCTTCAGGCATGGGACTCAGGTTTCCCAACGTCTCGTGCAGACGCCCTGCTGCGGCCCATCAGCGCGATGTAGGATTGCCTGAGTGTGCATTCTTCGTTAAATGTGCGTTTAGATAACTGACTTTAAAATCAAGGGAAAGGCGCAAAAAAAAGACCCATCAGTACCGACGTCCAAAAGATGATGATGCGCTTTACAGAGGTGCAACATGACTTGTTCCAGACTGTCGACCAGGATTAAGGCCACAGATTGCGTTTTGGAACAAGAGGGATGCGTCAGCTGCTTTTTTACAGGTAAACCTCCGAAACTTCTGCCAGTCTCTTCTTGCAACGAATTTGCTGATTAAGTACCTTGTACGCCGTTATATGCTTTCCGAACGCTGTCCATGTTGGTGAAGGTCTAAGGATGGAGTTAGATGTTTGTGGCATCGGGGACTGTAACTGGATACGGCATCTCGCCTAATGTCTGGTGTGTGAAAAACGTGCTCAGACACACACGGCGTCGGATGCACGTCCGTGGCTTGGGTTCGAGCAAGTGCCTCGCGTAGCCGCGTAGCCTATTTTTTGGTCCTCTTAATTTTGAAGTCAGTCGCCGAAGAGACACGTAGAATGGAAAGAGGTACAAGACACTAATTACGCTGTAAGGGACACATCTGAGTAACCTATCTGTCTCTTATGGCAAGTCAGCTAATTTTTTCTCTAAAAAGCAGCTTCTGTGGTCGCTTCTGTCATATTCTAAGCTAAGGGTTCCCAATGCTTCTTGAAAACATAGCAAGTGTTTGGCCTCACTAGAAATCTCATCCAGGATCTGCTCCAGAGCAAAGGTTAATTCATAATGGAAAAGCTTATCAAGGGACAGGCCAGTAGAAGAAGCTAAGAGCTTGAGGCCTTTCCGGTGGAATCCGAAGCGGCTCATCTGGTCCTGGGCCAGCACTTCAAATATCCTAGAGGCACGAACTTCACCATGCAAGTGCGACATTCCACGAATCCATTGCTTGCGTGGTCATGAGGAATAGAATCCTCCATGAGTCTCCCAGCTCTTCTTAAGAGATTTCATTGTGGATTCGTTGTCTTCTTTAATAATCACCTTCTGGATGCTCCAACTGGCAGGACATCTGCGCCAGTCCTTCGATGCAATGCTTCTGTGGAACGCTGAGTTTTCCCTTTCTTGGAACTGGGCAGGCTTCTACCCATCTTGTCCAGCTGTTGACTTCTATGAGCACCACTGACGGCGGACCATCAGCCAGTTGTACTAGTGCACATGAAATCCACAGCAATTGTAGGCCATTCTTTCTGTGAGCTCCGAGAAGGTTTCCGACAGTTTCTCGCTGAAACGGTTCAACATGATCTCAACACACGCTGC